GCTTTGTGTGTATTGTCAGGATTTTTGTGAGTGATGTGGTTATGTATGTTAATGTTTCTGTGTGTGTCACATCAGTATGTATACATGTGTATGTGTGTGCAGTGTCAGTATGTGTGTGTGTGTGTGTGTGTGTGTATTTTTCCCACACAGATTTTAATTGTAATCATAGAGGACAAACAGATTCACACATTTGTTCACCCACAGAAATACGCACACAGAGAAATACACACATCCCCACACAAACATAGAAATACAAACACACACACACAGAAATATGCACAGAGACAGAAAATAAGCACACAGAGAAATATGCACACACAGAAATACGCACCCCTCCCCCCCACACACACACTAATACTCAGACAATAATACACCACAACCAGAAATACACACACTAATACACACACAATGATGCCCCATCAGGGGCTGACTGGCAACTTTTAGCCCAGGGGGCAAGTACAACCCAGAGGCCCATGGTGCGGCAAAACGGCCCCCTCCCGCTCTGCCTCTTCCCCGCATTCTCGTTTCTGAGGCCACGCCTCCTTCGTCAGAACCAATAGGGAGAGTTGAACACGGTGGGCTAAGCTCTTTCACAATTTCATCTATGTATGCCTGTAAAAATTCTACCTTTGTGAGTATGGTTTCACTTGTTTAAAACCCATTTCATTAAAAAGTTTTTACGCAATCTTTTGTTTCTTTCACATTATAGAGCACCATGTGGGGGGTGGCGGCCGGGTGCAGGTGGCAGCGGCCGGGGGTCAAGGGGCCGTTCGCGGTGGCATCAGAGAGGCCCGGGGGGCAATTGCCACCCTGCCCCCTGGCCCAGTCCGCCCCTGTGCCCCATTCACACCTGTAAGTTTAGGTGTAATTATGGATTTCTGCGTCAGGAATTCCTAATCTGGCGTCTACAATTGGCAGCTGTCACCCATTCAAGTTAATGATCAGGTGACAGCCGCTGCATGTAAACACCGGAACACCGCATCTAATAGTATGTGGTACGATTATCACTCTGCATGGATGCATTGACCGTGCATCCATAGAGAGTAGTTGATTACTAGCCACATGTAATCATATCACATACCATTACACGCGTGTCCAGCATTTACATGCAGTGGCTGTCACCTGATCATTAACTTGAACAGGTGACAGCAGCCGCTTGTAAATGCCAGATTCGGGATTCCTGCTGTAGGAAAATGCTAATTCCTGGTGCAGAAATCCCTAATCACACCTAAACTTGCAAGTATGAATGGGGCCTAATACACACATACAGACACACGCACACACACATAGAGAGATACAGCCCTACACACACACACATACACATACACACACAAACAGGCAATAATGCAGAATAATAATACATAAAATAAAAGACAGAGCCCCATCACCTGCACATTCCCGGGTGATCCAGTGGTTGATTAGTAAAGTCTGACTTTACTAATCCTTCCTATTTGCCGGAGCTCAGAACTGTCAGAGCTCCGGCCGAAAGGAATTACTGAGTACAGGAGCTGACAGGAGCAGCTTACAGTCTGCATTTGACAGAGATGCAGACCATGTAGCTGTTCCCACAAGTCAGGTACCACGTGCCTGACTTGACAGCCAGCTCTGGACCAAATGGTACCAGTTCATGGCTGGAATTGGCCCGTGGGCCGGTACTTGGAGAACCCTGGAGTAGAGGCTGTGCCGCCTCTCTACTCTCTGCCGCCCCCCGAGGTCATGGCCTCGGTGGCCTTGTGGGGAATCCAGCCCTGAGAGCATCAACACACACACAACATTCACATCTGTGCCTTGTAGTTTGCCATAGCGCAGGTGTATTTTTTAAATTATATATCTGCCTTAGAGTGCTATTCAAAATAAATAGCTATGCACATGCAAGCATTACATATTATCACTGTTATCACACATCATACAAGTAGCAAGTGTTACTGTGCATTGAAATAATGTGCATTAAATGAAAGTTAGCACACACGGAAAGGTATAAATAAACCCTATATGGCAGTGCAACAAGCCCAAATTATGTGTAAAGTTTCCAATCAATAATTTCTGAGGAGGAGCTACAGTACTCCCCAGTATCCATGTCACAAGTGAGATCTGCACTCCAACACACACACAAAACACAACTTACTCCCCAGTATTCATGTCACAAGCAAGATCTGCACTCTTACACACAAACACCACTCACCCCCCAGTATTCATGTCACAAGTGAGATCTGCATTCTGCCCCACAAACACAACTCACTCCCTAGTGTCCATGTCACAAGTGAGATCTGCACTCTGACACAAAAACACAACTCCCTCCCCAGTATCCATGTCACAAGCAAAATCTGCACTCTACCTTGGAATATAGTAGTATACGAACAGACTGCACTATCCAGAGAATTCCAATACTTCAGACTTTATTGAAATTCACAGCAAATCCAATATAACAGTGAATAAAAGTGTATAAAGCAGCAAATACCAGCACTGCACACCCCCAACCAGCTACAACCTCTCACATGTTTCACCCGTAGGCTTATTCATAGAGGCCTCCATTAATAAGCCTACCGGTGAAACATGTGAGAGGTTGTAGCTGGTTGGGGGTGTGCAGTGCTGGTATTTGCTGCTTTATACACTTTTATTCACTGTCTTTCCCATGATTGTGATTCCTACTGAACCAGACTGAGAGACCATTTAAAGGCTCAGGAACCCTTTGCAGGTGTTATGGCTTAATTAGCTGATTAGAGTGGGACCCTTTGAGCATAGAATATTGCACCTTTTCACAATATTCTGCACTCCAAAACACACGCACAGCTCACTCCCCGGCATCCATGTCAAAGGTGAGATCTGCACTCCGACACACACACACACACACACACAGCTCACTCCCCGGTATCCAGATCTGCCACAATATAACCGATGCTATCTTTCTCACACTGCTAATGTGTTACTTCATAACCAGTAGAACCACATGATAAAAACATAAAATCCTAAACCTCTGCTTCTTTCTCTCTCTGCACTACCATGGTGTAAGATGTTGTTTTGGTCAGGTAACACAACTGTGATTTTATGGCTTTTTCCCCCCTCCGCAGTCATACATCACTGTGTATCTAGTAGCTTATGGATTATCCATGCATCTCTAAAAACAGTGCCTCGTGCATCTCTATTGTCCACAGTGCTTCATTTCTCTCTGCTACACACAATGCCTTATATTTTTATGCAGTGTGTTATAGTTCTGTTACACACCTTATTTTATACAGTGTTTCATGGTTCTGTATTTTAGTTGCACTGAGGTTGCCACATGCAGAAGTTTGGTGGTGTGCTGCCATTCTACACCGTAGAAGCCTGAATTGAACTATTGGCTATATAGTCCAGCTTCCATATGCATTTATTATGCAGTTTACCTTGGTGCTAAAGGTCTTTTACTATTCAGATGTGAACAAGCACACAAGAAGAACAATATAGCACTGAGATCTTACACTGCATGCCAAATGAGAGTCCACTACTTTATTTTTTTACACATTACTAATGGCCTAAAGCCACAGTACAGTAGTACTGATTTATGTATATTAGGGTACACATTATTTTAAGTGTTGCAGTTATTTTAAACAAAATGTTGATTTTTTAAGGTCGATACACAGAAAATCTGCCTAGTGGCTATTTTATGTCCTGGGATTATCTGGTTTTGCTTATAATGCCACGGAGTAAGGATGTAAGCAAGTATATATCTCCATTCTCTATAAGAACCTGGCTCCCTTTTCCATTGCCATTGCAGATGGAAGGACCTGAGAACTGTTTTGACAACCGAGGCCCTTGATTTAATGTTTGAATTGACCTAATTTAAAGGAAATGTATAGTGTATATGGATATATTTTCTTTATATTTAATTTATTATGGTCAAGAATATTTATTCTTGTTAAGTAAACACAAAGTATAACATATTAATATTTTGCATCTACATCTCCAGTCATCAAGTGCAGATTTGCATTCCTTTTCACATACTTAAGTATCTGCCATATGCTTTACTAAAATCAGTTTCTTTACCTCAAGGTGAAATTTTCAGACAGTACTGGATAAGTCAGATCAATGACACAATCCCTATCCCCCTCCTTCCCAACCTTGCTTGCCTGTTTAGATGGGCTTGACTATGTTTCAGGTAAAAAGAGAGATGTAGCCTGCCCTCCATGGTTTACAGCACCTGTGCCCGCGTCATTTGTGGATAGGCATCAACATCACAGGCTTGGACAACATTAGAGCACCTCTCCTCCCATTTACACCCTCAGCAGCCCAAATGAAAAGGCCTCCAATTGCAAATCCCTGCCTGCTCTGTTTAGACAGGCCAAATGAATGTATTAAAGTATAGGGTATGTATTTTGCCAAACAATATCAGAATGAGGTTCTACATATACTGGCCATGCACTGCAATTGTCAAGCTGGCTTCACATTCCAAATTTCTCCAGCTGCACACTACTTTATTAACTTTTCCACCGTACATAGTTACATAGTATTTAAGGTTGAATAAAGGCAAAAGGTCCATCATGTTCAACCCATTGTGTGTGTGCATGTGATTCTGCATGTGTATGCGTTACCACAAAATACATCTTACATTTTTTTAATTAAAAAAAAAGATTTATTTACACATATATGTATTACATAATAATAGCATGATAGTAATCTAAGTATACCGTTTAGTAATTCTACAGTGTGAAGTAAAACAGTGGAACATAAATGCTCTATAATATTTAATTTGTTTTCTGTGACATACAATTTTTTTATACAGAATTAGGTCACAATATACAGTACAATGCATTTACTAGTTAAGTCCATCGAGAACAAGTCCTTGGTTTAACATTTGGATGCTTATGAAGGAAATGACCAATTAATATTGACAATATGATTTATAGTTAAAACACTATAAAAGGCTACAGAGAAATTGTATTCTTTTGCACTGAGTGCAATAACCAGTTTTCAGAACTAATTACAATATTTACAAAGCTGCTACTGATTATGTCAGGTAGTTGTGCTTAGAAGACTTTTAATCGATATCTAAAATCTACATCATAAGTTGGCTGCAGAATTCCCAGGCCTGCTCGGGATTCATCCAGTGGTGGGGTCTTGGAAGTTTTATCAACAATCTCCATGTCAAGGTAGGAAAGCAACAAGATAATTAACTGCTTGATCTCATAGACTGCAAACTGACGGCCAGGGCACTTGGTTTTTCCTGACCCAAACGGTATGTAGTAATACTTTAGTTTCTTTCCTCTCAGGTAAAAGTTGGTCTTTTCTTTCCCATTTTCATCCAGGTAGCGATCGTATTTGAATGTCTAAGGATCAAACATATAAGTATATATGAGTATAAGATTCAAATGCCCCTATACAAGGGTCTGCAGTAAAAAGTTCACTGAGCAAGATAAATGCACAGAGTAACCCAAAGCAATAAACCAGGTCCCAGTTTACTAAAGAAGAACATGAGTAGGTAATAGGTAGAATAAAATCCATTTTTTTGCTGGTTAGTGTGAGTTTGCTTTTTGCCTAGCCATAAACATGAAATGACTGACCTGATCAGGGTAATTTTTAGATTAGGAGTATACATAGTGCTATGAAAAACAAAATGATACATCAAAGGGGAACTTCCCTGATGTGGCCATAAATTCTGTTATAATGCTCCACCTGTGCTGACCTATCCCCTAACCCTAACCCAATGATCAGAACTAGGTTGGAACTCATGGGCAGTGAGTATTGCAACACTGGTAATGCTAATGTGTGTTACACAGTTTGGCTCTAAAAATACCATTGAGCACACATAATGCATATGAATTTGTAAGTGATTAAAGCTGAACTCCAGCCACAAAACTTACATTTAAAAAAAATCTCCAACAGCCACAAAGGATATAAATCTACTTTCTGTGCACCAAGTGCCTTCGCAAACCCAGCTTTTACATAGGCATAGCACAATCAGTTTTCTAGAATACTGGGGCACATGAAACCTCAAATTACACTATTTTCTGTATTACTTACCATGGGATCTTCATAAATTTCAGGGTCCAGATGTACTGTCTGTGGGTAAAGTGCTACAATGTCATCTTTGCGGATGTTGTATGCCCCAATATCATCTAGTTTTAAAACAAAGTCCTCTTTGGCCACTCTTATGTTCATTGATGCACTGGATAGCCTCATTGATTCTTTAATAATGCTATCTGTGAATGAAAGACCACAACAAATACATTTTTACATTTTCAGAATTGTTTTAGAAATATCTCTGATGGTGCATATATTCTTCAGGAATAAGGGACACATATATTGCAGGATCCATGAGGTTATAGGGTCTCAGCATGTACCTGCTGCTTCTGTTTGCATGTTGCACTTTAAAGGGTAGTGATTTCTTATTTATTTACTATTGTCACATCTAAAAAATATAATTTTACAATATGTTTCTTTTCTTTTAGTCAGATACATAGAAAATATTGCATATGAATATTTTTTTTTTAATTTTCATATTTGACTACAGGTGAGGCACTTGGCTTCTTTTCACATGTTTTTGTGGACCACTATCTGCTGAAAAAAAAGTCTGTTGTCTACAGACCTCAATAACATCAATTTAAAAACCTGTAAACTTTATACACAATTTAAAATAAAATCGACCCAAAACATTACATAATCCCTTTAAATGTTGTATTGATAAAGCAGCACTTGTCCTGTAACCACATTCCTTTTTTCAGATCCTACAGAATCCAGGAGCGGCACAGAGACCATGGGAGTCAGCGGCAGCATGGGTGAGTGGAGGAGACCTGCAGTGAATGACACTGCATAGGCTGCAGCCATGTAATCAATATACATACAAAGCAGACACTAAGCAGGTGAAAAAAAGTATGGGGATTCTTTATTGTATGTGTATAAACTTGTATTTTAAAGGTCGGATTTACACTTCGGCGTTGTGGTGCCAATATGTTTGAATGTCACATCAGTACACTAAGGCAATGCACCTGCATTGTAGTGCACCGCAACATGCAGCAACACAGAGTTGTGCATTGCCATGCTCTGCATTCCAAAAAAAAGGGTCATGTGTGATTTTATGCATGTTAGGGTGCATTGACAGCCCATTCATTTTGAATAGGCTGCCTTAATGCAACCCACATTAGTGCAACATGATGCACTTTAATCCAGTAAACAGGCCCTTAGTGTTGGGGCATGGAAGGTTAAAAAGTATGAGAAAACCTCTGTTCATTATGTAAACTATCAACATAATTTCACGGGGTCCAGTAATGTATCTAGTAATTTGAGTCAGAGAAGTGTTTATTATGACTTTTGCTATTAACTGACCATTATTATTTGTATTATAACTATAATTATAATTGGAATGTTGCATATATGCTATTTAACCATACCTAAGACACACATGTCCTCCAGATGCTCCCGATTTAGGACCATGAAGCCGTTATTCAATGAAACTTTCTGATTAGTTTGTTCCAAGACCCGTTTGATTTCTTCAGTTGCCGCCTTCATTGCTTTTGGGCACCTGGTAAAATAGGTCAAAATATAATCCATATAGATCATAGGAGGGAAAAGAGAGTGGATTATTGCTATGTTTGTAGTATTACCTGAGGATATTGTAGACAGTCCAGAATGTTGCTGGGAGTGTGTTAGCTTGGGAAGCCCAGAGTATTGCCACGAGGGTCTTTGCCTTTTCTGAGTCATTCAGGGTAGTAGTATCATTCATCAACATCCTGTAGAGGACGAGGTCGGAGATATTGTTTCTTTGCTTGACTTTCTCTGCAGAGAACTCTTTGGCCAGATTCTCTCTGGCACTGTGTGCAGTTTTAAATACATGAATTGGCAGGCCTGCTACGAGGGCAGGAAAAATTTTGTCAAACTCTTTGAAGTTTTCAAAAGCGTTAAGAATCAAAGTTCTCTCTGCTTCATGTCTAGCGAGGTTCTCCTTTGCATTCATTTTTTTGCCAAAAATAGTGAAGTACCCGGCTTCAAACATTACACGGTTACAGAAGGCATAGAGGCCGCCAGTTATCCAGTCATTGTTGTTTTCTTTAGATGCACTGTTATGCAATAGGGTGAGTTGAAGATTCTCCATCATAGATGAAATAAGAGAATCCAGGGCACCACCCTGCAAGGATTTTGCTAATATTTCATGCACATTTTCCGATGTGTTGCCATCTATAGGGTCCATACTTCTGTGCCCAAAAACCTAACACAAGGCAAAACAGATTTTACCTTAGTAAGACATTTTACATGTATAATTTTAACAGCACCAAAGCAGTTTTTTAAACTTATTAGAACATTCTCAGTCAATTAGCTATATGTTCAAAATAATCTGAAGACAAAAACACATATGTCACCAACAGCAACAAATAAGCTATTGGCCTAAAAAAAAAAAAAAAAGAGAAACTGATCAGTTTCTATGGACTTAACATAGATTTCTTCCTTTACACACCTTACAGTCATGTAACTTAGCAATATCCAGATCACATAAACAGTGAAATAATTAGCCGGTTATATATAGGTTGAGCCATCTTTGTCTGCACTGGTTCTTTTTAAACAATAAAGAACAACATAGAGGATGGCATTGCTAGTATTCCATTAAAATGCAAGTGGAGCTTCTTTGTCAACTATTTAGTTGGCAGAAAGTATAGACATGAAGTCAGTACAGTGGATGGATTAGATGAGGGGTGTCCAACCCCAGGCTTTGGAGGGGCGGGATACAACTGATTTTTGTTTTTAAGCTGCAGCTACACTGAAGCTTTAGAACCTCAGGTTTTATTGCTATCTGTTTTTCCCTTGGAGAGATGCCACTTCCTGTTTTGATGGCACATCAGATAGTGAAAAGAAATCTTTTGAATGGGGGAAAATACAAAAGTAACAACCTGATAGTGGTTCTAATTTCTAACCCTTTGCCATTTTGTCCAATCGCAAAAAAAATAAAAATAAAATTTTCTGCCATTCTGCGCTATTTCTGTATGTTGTAGGTTGTAGTATATGTAATATTTTGTACAATTTGTTTTTTTTTTATGATTTACAGGGAATATTGTGGATAAAATGCATCAATATAAAAAATATGGCGGTTGAATATAGTTGAATCTCCTGCAGCTACTTCCTGTCTACACTGTTGCACTCCAGTGCTGGCTGCATGTAATGTTTGGGGCAGGTTTCCTGATGGTGACAACAGTGGACCATGCCTATGTAATGTGTGTTAAAATGACCACTTGTAGTCTCCATTGGAAGGCCTTGTGAAAAGGGTAAAAATATAGGAACTCAATTGGGGACAGAGTTTTGTCAACTGATAACAGGAAGTGCCTGACTGCATGGCAGGATTACAAGTTGTATTTTTAATCAAATCTTCAAAAATATTGAAAATGACTTTTTTACCTTGATTTTCTATTGACATGTTAAAGCTTTTATGAGATGTTAGAGATTAGGTTTACGTACATTTTAAGCTTTCATTAGTCAGAATAGGGGCAAGTGCAACAGCAGCCCACACTTTCCCTTAGGTAGCTAAGCTAACTCTATTACTTTAGAAACATGTATATGTAACCATAAAATTCTGCAGAACCATAGAAAAAATTGACAATTGAATTATCAGTCTTTCACAGTGAATACCGTAAAGGTTTTATTTTATGATGTGTTATGGTAATTTGTAAACCTAACACTAGTAGCTTGATAGTCTTATAAACTCATTTTATAATATGTGTAAACTACTGGATGTCACACATGATAAAACAAAATACAACAATGTATACTGTACCTTGGATGATGTTGAGAAGTGAAATTTCATCCAGTCGAACTGTCGCCCCTGCCGCATCATTGAGTTATATGCAAAAGGGCAAGTGACAAAATGAATGTATTGTCCAGCTATCTTGCAGGTGAAGATGTCACCCAATTTCTTTTGCCTTGATCTGAGAAACTCGAGAGGGTTAGCCCCAAACTGCAAGGCGCATCCCATATAGGGAATGAGCCCATTTTCTAAGGGTGGTTCACCTGGCCGCCTGCAATGACAGAAACAGATGCATATATATCCAGTTATTACTTGTTACAGCTTTGTATAACATTACAGCGTTATCATACGATTTGGTTTGACATGTGCTTTATTTACTCTCTTGGCATCATACTGCTGTGAAACTCATTGTGTTCTGACCATCACACAGTAGATCAAACTAAGAACAAAAATCAAATATTTGAAAAAGAAGGCTATGCAGGGTTATTGGCAGATACACTGTTAAAGGCTTTTTTCTTGCTGAGTTATTGATACATTTTTTAAAGTGACTCTAAACTCAGGTGTTAAATCTTAAAAATACATTCAAGTACCCTAACTATTAACAATGCTGGACGTTATTTGTGTATCACTCAGCTATAGATCCTCAAATCATCTCTGAATTTGTGCTGACACTGTCCTTTCTTCTGGAGGGTGGCTACTTTGGTTCCCCATGGTCTCTGTTTGTGTTGTAAAGTAGCCACAGCTCCAAATTTGCTCCTGTGATGGTCTACAATCTCAATACAAAATTAGTAAACTAAACAGGAGTAAGCTTGGAGCGGTGGCTACTTTACAACACACACAGGGACCATGGGGAACAAAAGTAGCCACCCCCCAAAAGGAAGGACAGTGTCAGCAACAATTCAGAGATGATTACATGATCACACATTTGTGATACACAAATAAGCTACAGATTAGGTACTTGAATGCATTTTTAAGATTTAACTCCTTTTAGTGTCACTTTAAGCCACATTATATATCTGTCTTCATTTGCATTTGTTTAAAATAAAAAATGAAAAATGTATCTTGCAACAATGTCCACAATCAGTTTACTGTACCTGTTTAGAAATGCTCTTCTAGCTATGTCAATATGTCAAGAAAACACACTGCCATTATCAACTTTAAAACAAACATAAGCCTAATTGAGGATTTTTTGCCTCTTACCGTCTTCTTATGCCAACAATAAGCCAGAGAAAACAGCACAGAGCCACAACCGCTCCCCATATCAATGATATTGTCAGCATCTTTTAAGATGATGGAGTCTCAAGATGGAGCACACTTTCAGCTGTGAGCTAAGAGCAATGCTGAGAGGTAGAAAAGTGGTCACCACTTATATACCCATTGCAGGGTAGTTGGCTGTATAGAAAATGAACTCAAGTAACCAAGAAAAGGTATTGATTAACCTCTCAGCCAATAGGAAGCTCTCGTTCAGCTCTGTACTCCTGTGCAGGTATCTGTAAAAATCAGAAAAAAAAAAAAAAGAACCATCATAGAGTTAGCCTTGACCGTTGTCCTGAGGTATGGATGAGGTTCCAGAGTAAGCAAAGAGTTGTAATAGTAGATAATCTGAAGGTCTCTGGGTGTGTTTAGGTCTTTCACACAAGCATACCAGCTGCTGACTATAGGTCAAGTTCACTGGTTACTGACGAGCATGTACTTGTCAGTATTTATCTTGTGTTCTTTCCCAACTCAGTCGTAGCAATGCAGTAATACTGTGAAAGGAGAACGTTAAGTATTTCACCTGTGATTTTGTGAAGAAAAGTGGAAACATAAATTGCTAAAGTATATCTAAAGCCAAAACTTTAATTTTTCTAGTTTTGGATATAGGAGTAGGGAATGGGTAAAGTATATCTGGAGACAATTTTTCCATTTTGTATATAGTAGGTAAGGGTTAAATCTCTGTCAGGTGTTAAATGCTTTCTGTGTCTCCATTGGCAAGATTAACTCTTTTTATTTGTGCTGTTGTCTGCTGTCACCGGGACTGAAGGTAAGGGAAAAACCCAACATTTTCAGGGTTATTCACAAAAGGGTGAAGAGTTTGGGAAAGGCAGGCGAAGTGAACAATCTGGGACAACATAGCTGAACTGGAAAGTGAACTGAATTGGAGAATTTTTCCCAATCAGCTATTTTGGCCTTGACTGTTCATTTCTCCTGCTTTCTCCAAACTCTTCACCCTTTTGTGAATAACCCTGCCTGAGTTGCCACCAGAACAGAAATAGAGGGGAATCTTCCAATGAGACATACAGTGGGGGGAATTTATCAAGGGAGTTGCTCCACTTTTCTTTAAGTGACACATTTTCCACGTTATTTGCACCTTATTTATCAATGCAGTCTAAGCCTTGATTAAGCCTCATTAGACATGTTGGGGAGAATTTATCATAGCAATTGCGAGTGTTTTAACTTGCACGGGATATATTTGCACCAGATTTATGATGCTAGTGTAATGTTGTTGATAAATGAGGTTTAACAGACTCCAGGAAAAAAGACTTCTAACTTCAGGCAAAAAGCTTAACTGTCGCATCTTGAAGAAGTGGTCACGGGGACTTCTTAAGTTGTGACTGTTTTCTTAGGTGATGCTCCAGTTTCATACAGCCCCGCAACAAGTGCAAATGTAAACAGGTGCATAAAACATGCAGTTGAAAAAGTAGTGCAAGCTAAGCTCTGAAGAAAACAGGTGCAAAACAGGGGCAAAAAACATGCAATTGAAAATGTATTGCAAACTCTGAAGAAAACATGTGCAGTTGGAAACGTAGTGCAAGCTTTGGGCAAAACATGTGCAGTTGGAAAAGTAGTGCAAGCTCAGGTGAAAACAGGGGCACATGTTAAAAGACAGATTTGCACATAAAAAATGATCTAAGAGGCTAAAACTGTCGTAATTGCTTTGATAAATTACCCCCAGTATGTTAATGTGACAATGGGATTGAACTAACTTGGGAGAAATATCTTTTTACTTCCTGTTGTGTTTACTGGACAGGTAGCAGAAAAAAAATCCGCTTGAATTGGACACAGATGAAAAAAAAATCCTGGCAGATGTTTTAAAGAACAACTCTGGGCAAATGACAAAAAATAACCCTTGCAGTGGGGCTACCCCTGCAGCTAAGTGCTCATTTTGGTCAAGTGTCGAAAATAAAAATGATCTACTCACCCAATCACCAATTCTGCCTGACTGCTAAACTGGCCCACGCAGCCTCTCTTCCCCTCTGCTCCGGTGGAGCAATGTCCCTCTGCATTCTCATGTCTAATGCACTGTATTAGATGTGATGATCATGGGTCATTAGACCGCTGGAGCAGAGGGGAAGAGAGGCTGCAGGGAACGGTTTAGCAGCCAAACAGGAATAGGGATCAGTTGAGTATGAATTTTTTATTTTCAACCCTAGACCAAAATGAGCACTTAACCCTTGCAGTTCAGGGGTAGCCCCACTGCAAGGGTTAATGCAGGATTTGCCCGGTGTTGTTCTTGAACCATTCCCTGCCAGCTAAAATGAAAAATAAAGTTTGGGCTTTAAAAGTTTTATTTTAGGCAGTTTACTAAAATTAAACCCTAAATAAAAGGATTCTCTGCCAGGAGCATAGCAAATGCCTGCCAACTGAAGACTCTTCAGAAACCAAGACCTATGGGAGTGTTGATCTCTTGGCCCCCCCGCTGCCTTCAGAAGTTCTCCCACCATCCTCAATGCCACCAGAGGCCACAGTAGAAACATAGGGGTCAGCAGGAGGAACTACTGAACACCACAGGGAACCAGAAATCTTCTACTTCTTTAAGTATTGGTTTCTAAAGAATATTTAGGCGATGATTTATCTGTATTACAGAGGCCTTCGGCAGCCCAGGTAGCAGGAAACCTCTTCTTTAGAGAGAGATCTTTTATCCTTTTATTCTAGTGACAGAGTCTCTTTAAAAAAACAAGTCCCATTGGGGAGATTTCACATAAACACAACAGAAGTGAGAAGAAATCTCTCTGACGTTAAGGAAATCCTCTATTAGGCAGTTGTCACCACAACAAGTATTCCCATTGAAAGATTTTTTCTCTAACAACTCCAAATTTTCAATTTTCCATAACTTTCTGTCTGGGTGACAATGGCCACCAGGAAAATGGAGATCATCTTCCCCATGGACATAAAACTCTAATAAAACCCTTCTCTACTTTATCCAAAACCAGAAAAAGGATTGTCTATAGTTACACTTGAATGGCTGAGTTACCTTTTTGACCATATTCACGGTGTAACATGAAACATGGTCAAAAAGGTCAAATAAACCTTTAAGGCAGTGGTTCTCAACCTGTGTGACCTCAGGACCCACATTTGTCCTTGGTCATTAAGTCGCACTGCAATAGCACGCACAGCATTAGGGTATCGCGCGTTCCGGTGCGGGGACGTATGAATGAACTGTGGGTGGGAGGTGCTTTTGGGGTGCCATTCAAATGAATGGCAAAACAACACACCTCCCACACCAGAACACACATCCCACACCAGAATGGCCAGTAGGTGCGATTGCATGGTACAGTGCATCAATGGCATGGTACTACGCGATTAATGCTCTGTACTAATGTGAACAGGCCATCAAAAACACTGACAGACACAATCTCATACACTCACACACACACACTCCAAAAATGTTTTTATTTATTTTAAGGTCCACCCAGTCTCCCTACCTGAACTGGAGTGGATCCTCAGTCTGGGGTCCAGTGTGGGCTGCTGTGCTGTGACAGAGCTCCATCCATATGTGCATTGCTTTTACAGCTCCCTTGCGGGCCCTGTAGAGGTGCCGGGAGCCAGAATGTGACGTCACCATGGATACGCGAGGGAGCTGTAAACAATAGAACAATTTCACCAGCACACCATAAGTTGAAAAAGCAAAATATTTTATTGCCAATAGCTGTATCTCATTGGCAAGCGCTTTCGGGGCCTCACAGGGTCCCCTTCATCAGGCGTAGGGATGCTGTAAACAATGCACATATGGATGGAGCTCTCTCACGGCCATAGCCCCATTCCACCCCACCCCATTCCACCCCAAGCTGACACTCAGCACTAGGCAGCATATTTTGAATGGCTGCTTGGCACAAGAACTGACAATGCTGCGCCAGGGGGAGGCAGAGGAGCCCCTCACCTAGAAAAGTAGAAGGTATGCGGCGACCCACTGAAAACGGGGTTGCGACCCACTTTTGGGTCACGACCCACCAGTTGAGAACCAAGGCTTTAAGGTATATCTAAAGCCAAAACATTTTTTTTCTAGTTTTTGGATAAAGCAGGAAAGGGTTTTATTACTGTTTATGTACCTGCTGGGGAGATTCATTCCATTGTCCTGGTAACCATTGTTAACAAGACAGAAAGTAAAGAAAAATCAAAAATTCCCAGTTGTCAGCAGGACAGCAAAAGAGGAAAAAAAACTTCCAATGGGAACACTTGTTGTGGTGACAACGGCCTACTAGAGGATTTCCTTAAAGGAGAACTATGGGGTAAGTGTTTTTTCCCCATAGTTCCCCTAAGGGTCACGGGAGGACATAAACTAGCGTCCTCCCTTGGCCCAAAGCTCAGTATATTGCGAGCTACAGCTCGCGGTATACTGAGAGTGCCGCAGCCGGGACGGATCCCGACAGTACTGTCGAGATCCACCCAGCTGCATGAGTGACAGCTGGCTCTGCCTATATAGAGGCAGAGCCAGCTGTACCCGCCCCCAGTCAGCGCTGGAGGATCGGAGCAGGGAGGGGGAATCAGTGCAGGGAGCCGTGAGTGACAGTCCCGGCTCTCTGCAGGGATAGATGGAGAAGTGAGTGAGAGACGGTATGCGTTCGCTCACTTCCCGATCTATTGAGCCGACGTGTGACAGTTTCATTGTCACACGTCGGCTCGAACTATGAGGTTGAGTGAAAATCACTCACCTCATTGTTCTCCTTTAACATCAGAGATATTTTGTCTTACTTCCTGTTGTGTTTATAGGCAATCTCCCCAATTGGACACAACTGGGAAAAAAAGAACCTTACACTGACTACTGTCTGGGGGGAGAGTTCTTCTAGCTTCCCTGATAGGATCTGTGAATGGAGAGACTACAATTGCTTTCTGCCATCGTTCGTCGAGGGACTTATAGTTCTCAATGGAGTACAAATGTAGTGACGTCACTGCACTTGTAGTCCTTTCATACATTCTCCTGTCCCTTATCTGAAAGTCCGTACCTTGGTCCAGATGGGAGGAAGAGTCTGCAGGCTCAAAGCATTGCATCCACAATCCACTGAATGCTTTGCAGACAAAT